GTCCTTTTTTAAAGCTGATCGTTTTGTGTTCATTTTGTTTAGTTCTTTTTTCGTAACAGATTTAATGTTTAGTATAGAGCTTAGAAAAAATTCGCAGTGTGAGATAGGCAAGAAGTAAGGCATGTAGCAACATCAGCACGGCAAAGGGCACTCCTTCAAAGGCAAGGAAGGGCAAAAATATTTCAAGTCAAGTGATAGCGATTGCTGTATGAGTCGTACGATTTTTGAATCAAGCCCGGGCAACGCCAGGCCATGCTGCTAGTGTTGAATATATGTCCAGTAATTTGTTTTAATTCATAACTAACTAGTAAACAAATAAGCTGAAGCATACTTCAATAAACAAAAAATTTCAATAGAATTCCAAGGTATTATAATTCGGTAAACAATAAGTTCAATAAAAAGTCAGGATGATTAAATCGATTTTATTTTGATGAAAATTACAGTCAATGAGAAACTTGTGAAAAAGTAAAACAAATTCTCCTTAAACCCTCAAGATCCCCCCCCCTTGGGTGAATTCTTTGCCTGGTTGAGGGCCTATAAACTGTTTGTTCCCATAAAACAGCAATTTTGATGGAGAAGCTGTCTGGACGGAACTTCAAGCTTACTAATGGAATACAAATGGAATGAAGATGATTTGATGCTCTCTGTGTGGCTAGGCGGGTCATAGGCGTGAAGGTCTGAACTGGTGGAACTAAGAAATATAGCTCTTATCAATATTTGCCATGGAAACAGCGATAGCTTAGCGAGAAGGTGGCAAAGTTTCGTCTGTCGGAATGGCATTTCGCAATAGAATATATTTCATTATCCACAAGGCTGCGGAATTGCTTTGAACTCTGTCAAGGCTGGACAGTGAAGAGTGGACAGTTCGGATATTAATAAAACATGAAATAAATATATGAGTTCCGTAACTTCAGTTATTTTGTTTGTATTTATGTAATACAGAATAATTTAGATGATAAAAACTCCGCTTCAGATAATACACTCTTCATCACATATAATTTTGCCATTTCTTCATTCTGGCTTTTTTAAAAAAAAGTTGTAAGACTAAGAGAGATATTTATTACAACGTTTCGGCCGTTGTACGCTCCGGCCTTCTTCAGGTGGTTGGTATGCCGAACAGAACCCTTTAAGTTAAGGCAGTTGAGAACTTGGAGAGGGGAATTAACAGGAGATAACTGATAACTGATAACTGACATCCATTAAAAAAAAGCATGGCACGTAAAAAATTAGAACAATCTACCCCAATGAGCGAAATGAAGGGTTCAGTTCCACATTCCAACCACCTGAAGAAGGCCGGAGCGTACAATGGCCGAAACGTTGTAATAAATATGGAGACAAAGATGAGGACAATAGTCCGAATAATGTAAACAGTGTACATAATGCCTCATCTCATAAATACAGACAGATACTAAAATGCTGAAACTTTGTGATAAATATGGCCACAAAGATGAGGACAATAGTCCGAATAATGTAAATAGTGTACATTATACCTCATCTCAGAAATATAGACAGATACTGAAAGGCCGAAACGTTGTAATAAATATGGCGACAAATATGAGGACAATAGTCCGAATAATATAAATAGTGTACATAATGCCTCATCTCAGAAATATAGACAGATACTGAAGGGCCGGAACGTTGTAATAAATATGGCGACAAAGATGAGGACAATAGTCCGAATAATGTAAACAGTGTACATTATACCTCATCTCAGAAATATAGACAGATACTGAAAGGCCGAAACGTTGTAATAAATATGGCGACAAAGATGAGGACAATAGTCCGAATAATATAAATAGTGTACATAATACCTCATCTCAAAAATATAGAGAGAACACTAAGAGAGAACTTTATTAATTTTACTGACGTTATAATCCAATTAGGCGGGAAACTATCATAAGTCTTTTCATAGCTTATCCATAGCTTATCCATAGGTCTCATATTCTTGAATTTTGAAAGGCACTTTCTTGGTAACATTTTATCAGCAACTGGTCTTTGCAGCTTGAAACATCTTTGCATCCTTTTAGTTATTTAGG